CTGCGGGGAGACCCGGCTGCCGTCTGCGGGGAGACCCGGCTGCCGTCTGCGGGGAGACCCGGCTGCCGTCTGCGGGGAGACCCGGCTCCGGCCTGCGGGGAGACCCGGCTGCCGTCTGCGGGGAGACCCGGCTCCGGCCTGCGGGGAGACCCGGCTGCCGTCTGCGGGGAGCCGCCCGCTGCCCTCGGGAACGCCCGCCTGCAGCCCTGCCCGAGAGCGAGGGGCGCGCAGCCTCGCCGGAGACTTCGGACACAGGCCACTGCTTTCTGTTTCGAAGACGCGCTCAGCAGAAAGTTGCCTCGTCTTGGCGGTGCAGGACCTCCACTGCACGCAGTGCCCCACCTGGCTGTGTCTCTTAGCTTTGGGACCAGTAGTTGGAAAATAAGATACGGAGTACACTCCGGTCAGTGTTTGTACTGGACAACGTTCTGGGCAAGAAATGCAGGGAAAGATGATAGTAAGGGAAAGTCGATGGGGTGGGGTGGGGACTGTAGGACAAAGAAGGTTGAATAGGCACCTACTTCCCACCACGTGTCCGTTGTGTGACAAAACTTGCACTAGTTATTGGAGTATGAGGCCATTCGTGTGTGCCAGATATGATCGAAGTACAAAACAGACCACTGCCGTGTAAAGGTGCATTTTAGAATACCTGGAAGTGCGCGCTGCTTTCTCTAGAGAGAGGTGACAGCCTGGTGTTAATAGGGGCTGTCAAGTCGTCGGTCTGTGCGCTATAGTTTGAATATGGAGCATTCCCCAAATGCCTTTGCATTCATCTCTTGGTCCCAGCCTTACTGAGCGTACCAGAAGGGACCGAGATAGGTCACTGGGTACAGCGCTTGCCAGGGTGAGGACCTAGTTTCCGGACCTCAGACCTACATAAATCTCGTCTGAAATCCCAACGCTCCTCTGGGGTGATAGGAGGCCCAGACAGGAGAATCCCTGAAAAGTCCTATGGAGTAGACATCAGTAAAACAACGAGGAGACCTTGTCTCAAACGCGGAACAAGGTGTCGACCTACCCTCGAGGTTATCCTGTGACACCAACCTGCAGGCTTGCGCTCTAATTTTTACATCTGTGTATGTGTATATGGGTGTGCTCGCATTTTCATATAGGTCCACGTGTGTCGGAGATGTATGTGCACGTGTGTGACTGTACATGTGGAGACCAGAGGTCAACCTTGGTGTCCTTTCTTACAGGCCATCCGCCTTGTCATTACAGACAGGGTCTTTCATTGGCCTGTAACTGCTCTAACAGGTTAGGCTGGCTGGCTGGTGAACCCTGGGGGACTGCCTGTCTCAGCCTCCCTCCCCAGAGCTGGGATACAAACCGTACCATCATACGAGGCTTTTTTGCATGGGTTTTGGGGATCGAACTTAGGTCCTCACGCTGGTACCTCAAACTTTATTCAGCCATGTGTCCAGCCTCATAGGGTTGTTTGGAGGACTGAACAGTGTCATACATGCAAAGGACTTAGACTGGTATTTGGAATGTAAGTTCTATGTACATGAATATGCATTTATAATCTCTTACTTGTCTGAAATTAGCTTTCATGGTTACTTCTTCACAGTCTGTTACTTTCTAGCATCCTCTGTTACTTTCTAGAATGCTCTGTCAGCCATTTTGGTGGCCACAATTAAATACGTTTGAGGTGTGGATGTCTCAGTACACGAAAACTTCACTATGAGGCCGCTCATTGGAGGACGGCTCATAACATGAACACTGGAAATAGCCCAACTACTAACCATGGAAGAGTAAATTTAGCACAGTCACCAATCTTATTCGAAGCAGCCATTAAAAATAATTTATAGGGCTAGAGAAATGGCTTGGCCATTAAAGTGCTTGCTACAGTTCCGATCCCCCAGAATTGAGGTAAATCCTGGGAAGGTGACCCCTGCGATTCTACCCTTGGAAGACAGAGACAGGGGATCCCCAGATCCCCTGTGAGACTACCCAGCTAGTGAGATTACCATATGGGGGAACTCTGGGATTGGCTGAGAGACCCTGTCTCAAAGAATAAGATGGAAGAGGAGCCATTGAGGAAGATTCCCACTGAGATCAACCTCAGTCCTACCTACGTACACCCCCCCACACACACATGTGCACATGCACTCACATCAGCATGTATGCTCACACATGCAATACATGGAAAAAAGAAAAGGATTCACAGAAAAGTATTACAGACACCACATGTCTATGAAACATATGGGATGGTGGTTAGAAAACTGTAGCCCAAAGGCCCAGCCCATGGCCTTTTTAGACACCTACAAGCTAAATGTTTTTACATTCTTCAGTGGTTGAAAAAAAAAATCTGAAAAGAATATTTAATACATGAGAAGTACTTGAAATTCAAACTCAGTGTATTAAATTTTGTGGGAAACCAGTCCTACTTTTCTTAGCTTTTTGTGCTGTCGAAGCAACATTGAATAGTTGTGTCAAATAGTTGTGATTCTACAGAAAGTTTTTGACTCCAGATAGAGATTTTATTTTGCAGCAGACACTATTAAAAGTGATTTAAATGTATTAAATATTTAACCTTTACAAGTGACCCTGAAAAGATATAATTTCTATTATTACATCTATTTTTTATGGATAAGAATAGAGATAACAGAGAACTCGGGCAAGCAGTATGCTGGTTAGCTTTACTTGCCAACTTGGCACTCCTGGGAGGAGGGAACCTCAACTGAGGAATTTCCTTCATTGGCTTGATCTAAGGTCATGTCTCAGGCATTTTCTTCATTGCTAATTGACGTGGAGGGTCCAGCCCATTGTGGGCTGTGTCACCCATGGGCAGTTGTTGCTGGGTTATAGAAAGCAGGCTTATATGCCACTGTGCCTGGTTTATGCAGTACTAGGGATCAAGGCTACAGGCTAGAGGAAGTAAACCAGTAAGGCATGTTCCTGCCTCCAGGTTCCTGCCTTGAGTCCCTGCCTTCCTTTCCTCAATATTAAACTATAACTTCTAAGTTGAAATAAACCCTTTCCTCCCCAACTTGCTTTTGGTCAGTGTTTTACCACAGCAATAAAGAAGCAAATTAGTGTGGGCTGGAGAGATGGCTCAGCAGTTAAAAGAGCACTGGCTGCTCTTGCAGAGGACCTGGGTTTGGTTCCCAGGACCCACATGGCAGCTAACAACTGTCCATAACTCCAGTTCCAGGAGCTCTGATGCCCTCTTCTGACCTCCATAAGCATTGCACAACATGGGTGCCCTTATGTGCAATAGTTACAAACATAAAATAAAACTAATAAATAGTTGGGTTTTTTTTTTTAAGAAAAAAAAAGCAAAGTAGAACACACAGCATAGTAAGAGGCTGAGCTGGAACACGAAGCAGTCTGGTTCCAGAACCTGCACTCTTGGACAGAGCTCCTACCACATCCTACCTCTACCTACACTGCATCCTGCAGAAATATGTAAAGAAAATGAAAAAAGGCAAATGGCTACAGTGTGTTGTGAGAATATTAAACTTACCCTGTAAGTTTGACCACCCAACTGCTGACACTTCATTTCCTCAAAGCAATGAAGTGGTAAATTGTTTTTCTTTTTCTTCCTGCTTTCTTTCTCCCTTCGTCTTCTCTTAACTGCTTTTGCTTCTGCTGAATTTTCTACAATAATTACATGACATTTTTATAATAAAAAAAACTGGGTGTGGTGGTGTGGGCTTTAATCCCAGCTCTAAGGAGGTAGAGGCCAGCCTGGTCTACATAGTGAGTTTAGGCAGGCTGGGACTAGGGAGACCTGTCCAAAAAAATTTAAACATCCAAGTTATGATTTTTGAAACTCTAGGAGAGCCAGGCTCCAGAGATCAGGTTATAGAGGTAGGTGTTACAGGACACTCACTTGTACCTATCATGATGGGATACCTTATAGTATTTAGATCATGTAATGATTGCGTGCTTTATGAAAAGGACACTGGAGTGGATAGCTTCAGTTGTCAACTTGGCACACCTAGGTAGAGGAACATCAGTTGAGTAATTTCCTCCTTTGGATTGGCCTATGGCCAGGTCTGTGGAGCATTTTCTTGATTGTTGAGTGATGTGAATGGGCCCAGCCCACTGTGAGTGGCACCACCCCTGGACAGGTGGTCCTGTGCTCTATAAGAAAGCAGACTGAGCACAAGCCAGTAAGTCCTATTCCTCGATGGTCTGTGCTTCAGCTCTTGCCTCCAGGGCCCTGCCTTGATTTTCCTCAGTGATGACCTGTGACCTGGGAGATGTAAGATAAAATAAACACTTTTCTCAAGTTGGTTTGGTCAGTGTTTTTATCATAGCAACAGAAAATAACTAGGACAAGCACTGTATTATAACATTAGATAGCATACAACTCGAGTTCCAGGACTCTCTTTTCCCTATGTTCTAAGAAAGGGAAAGTTCAAAACAAGCCTCATCCCCTCAGTAACCCACCTAAGGATTGAAAGCATAATTTATTATGTCCTACTCTATTTCCGTTTCTTATCAAAGATACATGACTATACATTTCAAAATAATGATTCTAGATGTGAAAGCCTGGGTTTGGTAATATTTGTGACTCCCAAGTCTCTCTTTTGTTTTATGGGCTTATTTTATTTTTATTTCTATGTCTCTAAGTGTTTTGCCTACATGTATTAAGTGCACCCCATGTCTGTAACTGCTAGAAGAAGGTGTTGGATCCCCGGGAACTGGAATTAAGGATGGTTGTTAGCCACCTTGTACATGCTGGGAACTGAACCCAGGTCCTCTGGAAGAGCAGTCAGTGCTCTTAATTACTGAGCCATCTCTCTAGGCCCTTGTTTTATGTTTTTAAAGCAGGGTCTCATGTAGCTCAGACTTACCTCAAATTCACTAGGTAGCTGAGGATGACCATGAACTTCTGATCCTCCAGCCTCCACTTCCTCAGTGCTAGGATCACAAGGCCTTGTTTATGTGT